ACCCATGAGCCGAATCAGCATTCTGCACGGTGGTACCTGGTTCATGGGAGGGGACGGATGCCGAATAGGCAATCCAGGAAACCTCGTGGTGACGCCTATACGAAGCCCCACATACAGTGGGGAAGTGATGTTGGACATGCAACACTCCGGCCGTGAATTGTGCTCATGGCTTTCCACGATAGAAAAGGCGCATCGTGTCATGGTCCCTGCGTGGCAAGAGGAGCATCTCAAGAGAAGATCTAATACGTCCTTTTGGAACCTGTACAGAAGATTTAAACTGTGGCGGCGAAGCGTCCCAAAAGTGGAATTCGAAGTTGAAATTGTGTACTTGGATCTTTGGAACAAAGATCGCTACGGCCACCCACTGCCGTGGGCGGTGGCATTGTTTAGGTACAAGTGCCCCACCCATGAAGTGGGCTACGGACTCTGGGATCATTTAGACGGCGAATTTTTCTCCCTTAGCACAGATCCCATGTCCCCTACTGAGGTTCACCTCCTCTTACAACCGAGACCGGGATACAACCAGCCCCTTCAGGTAGAGGCCAGCAACTGGCAATACCTTTCGGGTTTTGTCTCTGGTAAGCGTAGGACGGATTAATGAGTGCATCGAGAAGGGAGGGATTTTTTCAAGTGAAAGATTGGTCTAGAACTAGACTTAAATCGCAGGGCAAAGGCAAATGGACAAAAGTTTTCTTAGGGTATGCAGCTAGGTACATATTTACGTGGTGTTTTTTATCAACATTTATTTTGCCTAGGTATGCGACGTGGTCGGACCCGAGACGAAAGGGAAATGCAGGAGAGTTGGGCTTGGGCGGCTTCTCTTTACGGCGGGCTCAAGTCTTTCATGACAGTTAGCGGGAAAATCAGCGACTTGTGGATGAACAATGGCAAGTGCTATTTTAGGTGGTAAGCTTATCCACAGTAATTATTGCTTGTTCAATCTTTAAATTCAGCAGGATGTATTTGCATCTAGTTTGTGGGCATGGATTTGCCATGCTGTTTCTTCACCCCGTGGGGCCTTATTGCCAGTGATCCTGGTTACCTGGTATGTGATGCTTGGAGTTGCGCTGAACCTCTCTGCAGTAAAGAGCAATAGCTCAGAAAGCACGCTCAGAACTGCCTCGGCCATTCTATGAAAATCAAGGGCCTGCTAGTCGTTTTACTTGTCTGTTATCCGGCCGGCACGATACGCTTGTAAAGCAGAATCTCCCTGGCGTTTGAGCTATATGACGGACTCTGCATCTACAGGCTACCGCCCGTTTGGTTTTCTCGAAAATTGTGGACATAGTCTTGTTGTTCTTTTTGCTTTGGTATGTACTCTCTGTAGGTGTAGTCTAATTTTTCATTTATGTTGTGGAATGTCGTCTGTCAGGCCATTGCACGTGGAATGGAACATTTTCGATGACACAGTGTGCGAGCGTCTTCACCGCGATGCAAATGCAAATGTTGTAGGGGCTTTAAAAGCAGCAGCTCTCCCTACTGTCAAGATCCACGTTACTGGCATTGATTTGTTTAGGTACTCCCGGCCTGTTCTTTGGGGCGTTTTAGACGAGGGAATTTTAAGTATTAATGCAGGAACGGGAATTCTGCGGCTAGAGATTGACACCGACCCAAGGAATGTTCCAAATTTCGAGCGCTTTAAATCCACAGCGGAAACCACAAGGGCTGCTGGTCTTGTGGTCAAAGGCATGCGGTATTT